GTTTGTCTCATACAGGTAACAGATTCATTGTCCTTTATTAGCTATAACCGATGTTGCCAAATGGTGAAATAGAAACGAATCCCTTTAAATGTTGAATGCATTATTTTATTCCTCTTTTTTAAGTATTTAAATAATTTTTTGAAGAAAAATGTTGAAATGATAAGTTTAAAATACGTTGTTTCAGAGCTCTTTTATGAAAACTACTTGATTTTCATCAGGAGGAACGCTCCATAGGGTTATTCATTAGATGCATATTACACTAGATCATTGGTACCAACCAAAACATATTCGACAAACATACACAAGCCACATTCACAAACACTCACCACACAGAAATATATTATGAGTCTATTCCAGAATTTGCAGCGGGTACAGTTTTTTTTTTTCATTTCAGCTGGAACAAAAACAAGTTCAACCACCCTATGAACCCCGTTTGGATTCTGACAGAGATTTGGCCAATTTTCCACCAGAATTTACAGACGAACCAGTGCATCTTACACCAGATGATCCGTAAGTAAACTCAGCTGTGACTATTCCATATATGTACTTTATAAAAGTATTATTTTCTGTCAGAACATATTTACAAGGGGTGACCTAAAAAACCTGGAATTACGCTGTGGTGCGGAGGGAGAGTGGGGAAACCTATTGTTTGACCATATGTCCGTTAGTGTCGCCTGTGAGATTTTTTTAGTAAAACAACTTTTCATATTTCGGCGAAAACGTAATGGTAGATTGTCGAGAACAACACGTGGCTGTGAAATTTTGTTTCCTGTTTGGGAAATCGGCCACGAAAACTATTGTAGTGCTTGAGACTGCTCATGGGGATGCTGTCTTGGATAAAACCAGAGTTTACGGTTGGTTTCCATGTTACAAAAATGAAAAAATGTCTATTGAAGACCAACTTCGTTCAGGACGCCCCTCAACGTCAAGAACTGATGAAAGCGTCGTGTTGTGCACGCGGAGTTCGTTTCTCCGGGTCAAACTGTCAACCAGAAGTTCTACTTGGAGGTTTTGAAAAGACTAAGAGAGAGTATCCGGAAGAAAAGAGCAGATCTTTGGCGCAGAGGCGACTGGTTCTTCCATCATGACAACGCCACCCTACACCGCCCTTTCCATGAAGCAAAAAAGCCATGACACCGATTGTTCACCCCCCATACTCACCGGATCTAGCCCCCTGCGACTTCTTTTTGTTCCCCAGACTCAAAAGGAATATGAAAGGAAAGTGAATACTTTGAAGGTGATATGTAGTTCTCCATTTTAAAGTATTGAAGTATGTGCAATATTTATTTTGTTCTATCAAAAACGCCTTTTTCAAAGCAGAACAAAAATACTGTATCTGGACTTTCGTAGATTCACTTCTATGCGGTTTTAATGATCTTCCAAGGTCACTCAAACTGTCATTAACAATAACTAAAATGAGAAAAACTCATGGTGCCGTATATTTTAGACTGTGCAATAATCAAAATACTAGAAGAATGTGTGTAAGAAATTATTTCAATGTTTGTCAAAGTTGAGTATATGAAACGGATATAGTTTGAAGACACTTGTTTTCAAAAAATTCACATTGAAAGAAATCAAATTAATCCCCCCAATTCTTTCACTGGGTTAATTTTAAAGTTCATATGGTCTTTATTATCCAGGGCTCCTGGATCAAAGCTATTGCATCCCCCAATACATCAAGGTGGCGACATAGTGTTGCCGTTGCCGCCTTTTTGTGTTAGAGGTTGCATTGTATTATTTTTATCTTTTTTCCAACGTCCTTGACCATGAGACAGTTGTTGGATTTAAAGTTACTTTTAAAGGTTCATCTGCTCCCCCACTAGGGGGAGGCGACCTCGCTCCGTCAGGTCATCGTCTGTCATCTGTTCAGATGCTTCGACTTCCTTTTCGGGGCCCATGGTGGCCTTGGGGTCAATATCCACTTTAGGTGGCTCGTCTTCCAAGGACCTAGAGTCTCCAGAGGTACCCTCTGCTTCTTTCTGTGTTGCTCTTATAGTTAATGAGGTAAACGCGTAGCTTATCCTCATCGACTTCTTCTTGAGTACAGCCATAGCATCGTCTTCGATCCCGAAGACGAAGAGGTGTCCTTGTGGGTTTACCTTCACCTCGTGGTGGAAATTGCACCATCTTGCTACTGTTAGGTCAGGGTTCTGCGCCTTCAGCCGACCCAGGACCCTCTCCTTTTCACCGGATGTCGTCTTGTGGACGTCCTCCGGGATCCAGAGCGAGGCTTTGGTAAGCTGTGGGAGCTTATCCACACTGACGACCGCAAGTGAAGCCTCCTCCACATCTCAATGTTCATTGTGGCTTTCTTCAGCTACTCTAGCGTCACGTCGTCATCGCAGACCACTCTGATGATTTCTTCATTTTAATTCATATAAGCTTCGAAGTTGAATATTGCACAAGCCACCGGTTCCATTCAGATGATTCATAATCCAGTCATTTTCGGCATTTTAAACCCCCATCCGCGAAAAAGTTCCTGGTGAGCTGAATTTTTGTATACACCTTTATCACGGCGTTGTACTGAAGATATGAAAAATCGACATTGATTTCGTACCGGCTAAAAAAGTTGTAAAGGTCAAAAGGTCACAAAAATCAGTTTTCACGAATATCTCGCGACCTATTGTTCGGAGGTCAATAGAGGTCGTTATAAAAATTGTTTGTCGTGGCTTCATAAAAAAAAATGTCATCTGCATTTTTCTGTAAAATGGATCGTTTTCAAAGTACAGCGCTGAGAAAGCGACTAGAATGCCGTACACCAAGGCGTGAACTTTATTGCTTTTCATTCATGTTTTTAAGTGTCCTAAAAACTTCTATCTGATACTTGGGCGTTTTGTGAAGAATATACTTATATTGTAGAGATTTTGGAATGCTTGATCAACCTACATCAATGTTTCTTTCAAAAACCAGGAAAAAAGAATGTTAAAACGAAAATATACTCGACTGATAGCGTCACCAAGTATCCACATTAATATTACTGGAGTTTTTCCCAACTTAAAACCCAATTTGATCTTACTTTTGAAGATGATCACTTGGTGATCGAAACACGTTACGAGGTGTTGAAAATAATGATTTGGTGTTGGGGAAAAATCTCCAGTAATATCCATTACTACACCAAAGGTTCCAAACAGTGCATCACAAGAAGTATCCACATTGCAAAAAAAATATTCTGTTTCTACATGCCATGACCGGATGTGATACATCTTCAGCACTTTTTGTCTCTCTTTAGAATAAATCATTGAGGTAGCAACTGCCTGTGATAAGGGTTTACCAATACACGCGTTATAACGCTAGCTTTAAAAAGAATTTTGTTACTTTTTTTTAAGGACTTTAAATAATTAATATTNTTATTGATGGAAAATTATCTTTTGAATGCATATTTCAATAGAGCATGAAATTACCTTTCCAAAAATGTAGCACACTTAATGTTTTGCTAGAGTCATCTTGGAAATACAGAGCTTTTAGGTTTTTTCATGTAGACTTTGAAACGCACACTTTGATCAATTGGGTTTTGGACGAAGCGGCGATAAAACAGAATGCAAATCTTTACTATTAGCTGTCAAATTTTGATTTGAGCAGTAAAGGCGCTCTTCAATTGGTGATTTTAGTTCAATTTTCAAACACATTCGCAACGAAGTATGTATGATATGGTATACTATATCATACAGAAGAAGCTATCTGAAAATGGGAACCTGAAAGATAGAACAAACTTACCGATACAAGTAATCATGGAATTACTAGGATGCTGTGTACGAAACTGCTACTTCCAACTGAAGGACGAATTCTTTACGTAAGATGAGGGACGGCCAGTGGGATGGGACGGAGTGGTTTGAAATTCTGGCCATTGAAGAAGTCCACAAGAAGACCCGAGTCTGGTTGAGACACGTAAATGACACCTTCATAATATAGGACCATGGGAATGCAGAACTAGACACTTTCCTGAAGCACATTAACAACGTAAGTCCTTCCATCACTTTCTCAATGGAAAAGGAAGTCCACAACGAATTGCCTTTCTTGGACGTATTGGTGAGGAGGACCGACACTAAATGGGAAACATCTGTATATCGAAAACCCACTCACACAGGACAGTATCTGAACCAGAAATCCAACCACCATCAATCGACTAAGAGAGGAATCATCAAGGCTCTACTAAACCGTGCCTTTGTTCGTCTTAAAGAACTGTCGAGGTATAGTCCTAAGTTTTTAGAAATATCCTTAAGAAGTGACTCAACTCCGTTTGTAGTTATAGAAACCTTGTCAAGATTGCGTTTACGCAAAAAACACAACTACTGGCTTAGAGGGATTGACAGTTAAGCAATATTTGGTTGATAATTTCATCAGAGAACATAAGTCATCATTAAGTTTTTTCTGTGTTATGTCAAAAGTATCTCCATCGCATTCTATGTAGATTTGAGTATCATCGGCGTAGCAGATGACAGAAGAATATTGAAGACAATCTGGAAATTGTGATGTATATGATACAAATAGTAGTGGGCCCCATATGGACCCTTGCGGAACACCGTTATAGAAATTGATGAGATTCGACGTAGAGTTTTTGAAGGTGACACATTATGATCGGTTCTGTAAGTAATTTCCAATCAACTCAGTTGCACTCGGTGCGAATCCAAGGTAATTCAGAAGAGATATACGAAGTACATGGTTGATGCAAGAATATACAGGGTGTCCCATTGAAAAAATAGTTTTCCATCAATAACTATTGATATCTCATTTGAAAAAAATTTGGTTTTTTACATCATACACGTAAAAAAGTGTTTTGTAAATGTTTTCGTTAAAACAAGAAATTTTTGACAGGAAAAAAGTTAGAGCAACTTTTCGAAAATGCACATTTTCCAAAAACATGCTTTGACTCAGAAACGATGATAGATATCGATATGTGGTTTATACCATCAAGTATGTCATAAAATTTGACTCTCAGACACAGCCATCAGTTTTCATCTATCTAATCTAATCTAATGATTGAGAGTAGAAGTAAGCCCAGTTGACAGCAAATCGGGGGCGTGCTTATTAATTTTTGAGAGGGTTAAGAATGAAAAAGAACTAACATTATGCTCAATTCTCCAATATACGTTATGTGCACAAATTTCAATAGCATTTGTGCCCATGGTGATTAGAATTACTAACATGTACTTGATGTAGGTAATTAGAATTAGTTTTTCTTTTTTGTTCATTTTATTTTTCGTTTATGGTTAAGTATTGTGAATAAAATTTTATATTGTCCTGTAAATGGGTAAGTGTTGGACAATTAAGCTATTATTATTACTTTTTTTTCACCGTAGTGTGCGCTAAGCAGGCCCTGTGCGCCAGCATTATCAACCAATGAGCAGCAAGCGCAGTGAGCCAAGAATGACAGCCTTCTACATCTTCAGTCTTCAGCCATCTTGTAACAATCACTCAATGTATTGCAGAGGGTATTGATTGTCAGTCTCAGACTGATGTTATATAAACTGATTTTTCTAAAGCGTTTGACAGACCTGACCATAGTATCCTGCTCAACAAGCT